TACGAGATATGAGGAGGTGGCTCTGGCATTCTGATATCTTAGAATATGTTAAATTTTCCTTGATGTTTCCCATCAAGGAAAATTTAACATATTCTAAGTAAAGAAATGAAGTAAAGAAACAAAAGTATAAGTCTGAAAAAACTCATTTTTTATATATTATTCATGCAAAAAGAAGTTTATGCATTATTCTTATAAATAAAGCGAATATACATTTTTATATCTCAAAATGTTGAATACTAAGATGATTTAATCATGATTTCTTAAAAACTGATAACCTTATTGAAAGCATATACGTAGTTTTGTTAAAGTACACATGTACGGGTTTATGTATCAAAGGACTTAATTTCGGCTTAAGAAGGTTCGGAGCTGCATCAATCAAAAATAGTAGAATGCATAAATTCACTATAAGTAGGAGTTATATGTAGACAAAATGTTAAATGTATGTTAAATTAGACAAAAAGCAATTTTAGATTGGCACAGATTTGGAATAAAACTCCATTGATACTGAGGAGGATCAGATATAAGTCTTTCTTTTTATATCAGATATACGTTAAAAAAAATTTCTCAAGAAAAGCAAAAATGTTTTGCTTCTGAAGAAAAGGATTTAGATTATTTACATTCTAAATCAATAAATTCAAACTCAAATAAATTAAAATTTTCCTAATTTCAGATTTTACATTACCATGTTTCTTTTCTAATTTGATAAACTTTTAACGTTGAATAAATAATTTCCACTGCTTTGTTCAAAAATTAAGGGAAAAAAAACCTATGGATATTTTTATAATTGAACTGAATTCAATTAAAGAATCTTGAAAAAATCCTAAAATTTCTGTGTTTAATGGCAACTTGAAAATAAAAGACCATCATAAATCCTTAGGGATGCGAAGGCATAAATATAGTAAGATATATTGCGTATGGCTTAAGATAGGGATTGCTGCCTCTATGGCTTAAGATAAGGATTGCTACCTCTATGGTTTAAAATACGGATGCAAGTATATATTTTAAGAATATGATGTTCTTTATTTAATATGAATTTCAAGAAGTCAGGATGGCATCAGCAAATTTAGAAATTTTAGATAGGGATTGCTGCCTCTATGGCTTAAGATAAGGATTGCTACCTCTATGGTTTAAAATACGGATGCAAGTATATATTTTAAGAATATTATATTTAACCAATATTTCGATGAATTCTAAAAAACACTGCAATACATATTTAAATTTTACTATTTCCGGCATTTATATCTTTAATAAAACACTTTGGTATAAACACAGAGAAGTAAATCAACAACGGAAGCTTTCAGGAAACCGAACTTGCCATTTTTCAATTGCTCCTTTAAAATCAATAAAGTGAAAAGTAACAAGGGTTTCCACTCTCACGTGCTTCCAGACGGAAAATCATTAATAGAAAACATTGCCCTCTCAATTACAATAATTCGATTTATCAAGCTATCAATGAACTCGTAAAATCATGAAGAAGAACATCCACTAATCGCTTGTTGGCGAAACTGAAATATGTTTCCAACTGTCTGACTTAACACCTATCATTACAACCTTAATATCACTTCCTACTGTTTCTCCAAATGAAAATCTTATTACTGCATGAAAAGAATATAACCAAAAAGAAAAAACTGGTAATAAATATATAAAAAATGAGACGGCCTGGTAAAGCTGGCATAAAAAGGAGGGGTATGAAGTTCTAAATTATACGACCTGGCCCGCTGGCTTTCTCGGAACCTATATTAAGTTATTAGACGCATATTTATCATGCGTTATTAATTTGGCTGTGCAGCGGGAATATTATCCCCCCCCCGCTACTTGGCGATTATGTTTTTCGGTTTTAATAGAGAGAAGTCGCGTGATTGGTGGCGATTTTTCATCTAGCGGTGTGTCGCATCACGGCGACATGCTATGAAAAAGGGGGTGAGGTTGTTGGTGATTACCCCCCACCGCCTCCTGAGCCTCTTTTTGCCGTCTCCAAGGTTTCGTGACGTAACTTAATATATTTATCGTTAGAGGATAAAGCCGTTGGCGTGAAAATAATTTTTATATGCCTTCCTTTCTCTTGTTTTCAGTCCTTTCAGATGTGAGCCGTAATAATTTTAAGAATGTTGAATGTCTGCAGCCATCTAAATGATACTTCATACCGGAGTAAAATTAATTGCTTATTCCAGAAATATAAATGAAAAGAACTCGGCTAAATTTCCTTAAATTATGCATAATCAAATAAATAGAAGTTATGAGTAACTTTAAAGATATATATAATAAGATCATACAGGAAGAAAATAATATGTCTAGAACAAACTATGAATGTACAGTTTTTGATAAAATAATATAGCGTAAAATGATATAGTATAGTACCTGTTATAATATTGCGCGATATGCAGTATTACGCAAATATTGTAAAAAACCACATGTAAATAACGCGCTTAACTGTATAGCAAATCAAATTATCGTCAAAATAATTTCGCAATGTAGCAAAATCCAGAACAAAGAAGAAGTTGGAGACGACTTAAAGAGTATTTTCAAACCAAAAAGCGGTGAAGGCTACGAATATTTTGAAATGCAGCTACAATTAATTTTATTTACAAAACAACTGAAATTTTTTTTTAAAGTTTTATAAATAGTATATCGTAGCTGACAACATTGAAAGCTTAAACACCGGCAGAATTTGGGGGGAAACCCAGGAGGTTCCCGTTGCTGGGAAACCCCATTTTAAAGAAACTCTAATGCATGGTGATGAAGGAATTTCCTATGCATGGCTATTGAACTATTTATAATTCAATTCAAATATGAAATATATTAGCATCTAATTGAATATTCTAAATTTTATGTTCTTTAGCTAATTTCACTTTGCAATTTTCTTCATTCTTTTATACCGAGAAAATAACGAGCAAAAGAGAAAAGCTTTTCTTTGTCACACGAAGAAAGGCTTTTGTTGATTATTTTAAATACCATGCAAATGAAATTAATAATTAATGAATTATTTGTGTGCGGGCAAACTCAGTAACATACTGTTTATTAAGTAAATAAAATGAAGTACAAATATTAACTGATTAAACATTGCTTGAATCTTTCTGTAACATTCTACAATTGTCCACAATGATTTAGTAGTATACCGTTTATTGAAGTAAGCAAAATTAAATACAAATATCAATTTATTAAACATTGCCTAAATCTTCATATAAAATTCTACAAATGTCGGCACTAGGTTAAGACTTCTCAGATCAAAGGAAATTTACTAAGAAAAATTTAATAAGATCAATAAGTTGCAATAAGAAAAAAAAATCAGATAACGTTTAATAAGAAAAGTTATTCTGAAAATCATTGGAAGTGGGGAATGGAAATTAATTAATTTAAGTTACATTAATTCTATAAATTTCATTTATTATTTCTAGTCTATTGCTGTATTGGTATTCTATGCTATACTAGCTATGTTCTCCACTACACACAAAAAAGATGTTATGGATGTATACACAGAATGAAGACTTTATGTACATAATTTAGTCATTCTATAAATGTATTTAGATAGTTATTCATATTCAGTATAAGGGTCTTAACCGCCTCTCAGACTGTGAAGAAGACTTAGAGAGGTAAGTCAGTAATATGTCACATTATACGTAAATAGAAAGATAGCCATTAGAAGTGAAAAGATAGAGACAGATATAATATTAGTACGCAGAAATTGTGCGAACAGATTTCGATTCCTAATCCATTAGATACGTTAAGTATCTATCGGTGGCTACTAATTTGTTTATTACATTGTCGAGATATCCATGAAAAATGGGTTGTGTGAGATGCCATATATAAAATTAAAATTTTAATTAAAACATATCAAAGAAAATCTGTTATTTAAAATACACACACATGTGTATATATATTATCTATTATCTTCTGCTATTACTTTATATTACATTATGTTATTAGTATTATTGGTTATATTGATATTACATTCCAATAAAAAGGAAATGCCGGATTCTTTCTCTTTTCAAGTTAACTGGAAAAAAAAAAAAAAAAAAAAAAAAAAAAAAAAAAAAAAAAAGGGTTCAAGATCTTCTAACTATTGAATAGTAAAACGACCTATTATGAACTCTTAACTAACAATAGTAACTTCAGTGCTTTCTAACTATGAATAGTTACCTCACTTACTTCTAACTATATATAGTAAATGCATATTACCCCTTTCTTTGTCAACAACGAGCTTCCGCATAACGATTCAACTCAAAAAACAAAAGGATAATTATCTGGATTTTAAATGGACAGCCTTATTAAAAATGCGGATCATGACTGTCCTGCGATTCATCTAATAAGTAAGTCATTCTTTTATTTCACTGTTTATTGTTTACAAAGAAAAAAAAAAAAAAAAAAAAAAAAACTGCGTAAAGAATACCATGAGCAATTTTCAATTTCCACTTTCTTCTTAATTCTCGGAGATTTTGCCATGTTAAAACAAGCTGTATCATTTTAATTTCACTAATTGCCACGTAAAGGGAAAAGTACACAACGGCATTTGGGGGTTATTTTTGAATGCCGCCCAGACAGGAAAGTGGTTAGTGGCACTAACTGCTGTACCGAAAGTCCCGGGTTCGAATCGCGGAGAACGCATTGGGGTAAATTGTCTGTCCCTTCATAGGGGGCAACGGTGGCCCACCTATTACGTGTCTCTATAATAAAGTGACCATCGGTTTCAGCATTAGAATTAGAGTAGTAGTGGCCAACCTCTATGACGATTTGTGCCCGCTATTGGGGGGGGGGAACAAGCTGTTGTTTCTTGACATGCATTTATGCTCTTTAATTAAACTTAAGGCTAAAATTTCGAGCGTGTTTTACTAATTACCGAGGTTCGGTCTCAAATGTTCTTTAATCAAACTAAAGTCTGAATGGAATTTTTTTAATGATAAAATTGTTATATACTTCTTATAGCCGAAAACGAAAAGTAAAAGATAAATATATAGCTAATTATCACTTCGGAAAAAAAAAAGAAAAAGAAACTGGAAACTTACATGTCCCTGTTTATCCATCTCGTTGTTCGTGAGTTTCACTTTTTCAAAAGAGACCACTTGCTTTTTCAGCTGTTCTCCTGTGAAAGGAGAGTCCGGATGCAAGTACAGCCGAGATGGCGACGGAGGATCAGCCTTGCCTGCTACCAGCCAAGAAGATCGATGATAAGCATACCGATACCTCTTATTGTCCACTGGTACAATGTCCATGTAAACGGAATATTTTGTGTGAACTTCAGCACCGGAAAAGGACACCCTTACAGTTGGAAACATACGCCTGAAATAAAAATAACACAAAGATTTTATGATATATAAATAAAAAGATGTGTAATGGTGTCAACAAATCAATTCAAGTAATCTATCTATATTATGTAGGATTGACAAGGTAACATTATTAGAAAAATTAGGACGCTTTAACAGTCCGAAATACACTTTTCAATAAACTCTAATGTCCTTGAATAACCTTGCCATTTATGATTTTAGAATAAAATTAGGGAAAACGTTCAGTTAGATAGATGGAAACCTTAGATTAAACAGCTGGAAGGAAGATTAATCGAATTCATTTGCAAATGTCAAGAAAGAATATAAACCAAGGGAAGAATGTTTTTCACAGAAAAGCTTTCTAACTTAACTGTAAATAATTTAATTATATTTTCATATTGATTTTTAGATGATGATTACCAGAACTATTGCAAAATTAGAGGAAAATTAATAATTACAAATAAAATTAATAAAAATTTAATATTTTTGAAATGGTTACAAAAGTATGTATCGTAAATTTTAGCTGTTTGTTCGAACATATATAAGATTTACCTTCAAACGAAACTCATTTTTTTCCCCAGCGTGTTTTGCATGAATGTGCTTCAGAATCAAATATTATGCAAATTTTGAGTTTTTTTAGATAACTGTTTATTGTTAGTAAAGCAGTCGAACTGACTTTTTTTCATTCATACATTCATTTCAAATTTTTGATCTATCAATCAAAATTTTTTCCAGTTTAAAATTTGAAAAAAGTTCTTGTGACAGAACTATCTTATTGGCCAAATCATGTTATCATAAAATTCCAAAATTTACTTCGGTATTTGGCAAATTTTTATATATAGCATACAGCATAGTCTTGTTATAGTAGCAAAAAATTTAGTTATTCAGATTAAACAAAATTCTGCTGTGTTAATTGACCAATTATGCTCCTTTAGCTCAGCAAGGTTTAAGATTTAATCCCTATATCTAATCTTTATGCATTAGAGATTAGTATTAGAAGTAAACAGAATGGAAAACAATGCTTACTTTTAAATGTAATTACCTCATTTATATGATAAACAGTCATCTTTGGATATATGAAATAAATGGTATAATAAAAATTATTTCAATATATTGCACAGTAGCGACCAAACCTGTTAAATGTTTACAGGTGTTAGTGCTTTTCTTGCAGCCCAACGGATATCTTCAGAAAAACACATCCGCAAAGATTCTGCGGTAAATCTTTGAAATCAAGAAGAAGAAAAAAAAAAAAAGAATCAGGAAAATCGATAAGAAATCGAATAGAAAACTTCCCAAACAAAGAAGCTGGAAATGCGCGAAGAAGCGCGTGATCAAAAATAACCGGATGATTGCGAGAGATGACAGCCCCAAACACTAAAATAAAGAAAAAAAATCAGATCAAACAGAACCAACGAGGCGCCTGAGGATCTCCATTAAACAAACAAAATGGCGAAATAATGGCAAAAGAAGATACAAAGAAATTTTAAAAGAAAAAAAATCGGAACTAGATATCCACTTTAGTTGAAGGGGGCCAATAATCGTTATCACTTAACAACACTGCTGACGCTTTCCTCAATATCGAGAACGTACAGAATGTAAGGAGACCTAGCGACGCAAACTTACCCAAACATTGGGACTCATGGCGACGCCAGTATACTGATAAAGTCGAGCCGTGTAAACACTCACGTTCGTCTGGATAGCTCTTAACGCTGCCTTTTACGCCGATTGTTCAACGCCACCGATTAAAAGCCACTAAATAAGATGACTGAGATGAACAGCTATGTTTCCTAACCACCCACGATTTACTGCATCTAAAATTTCGGGTCATGTTTTTAAAAACAACATTCTTGGCTTATTATCACTTTTACACTTCACATAATTTTCTTTCTCAGGTGCGATACTTTTAGAAAAGGTTTTATTTATTTCTTTGAAAGAATTTTTAATTTTTCTATCTATGAGAATTAAAACTGTAGCTAGCGAATAGAAAACAAACAGTGTCCACAATGACAAAAATGGAAATTTTCGCGTGGTCATATAAGAACCAAGAACGTCATCTTAGGAGAGAGGTCCAGTGTCCTTCGGCTATTAATCCTTTGCGGTCATATGTCGACTCTCAGCCACCAAAACTTTTTTACCTTTCCAGTCGAATGTCTGCTCTCAGCCACCACGGCAAAGAATCATGCTGATCTTGCATTCTATTCAGTCGACGAGCTTCATAATCTTGCATATCAGGTATTACTATTTGTTTAATGAAAATTAATTCTAGTCAGCATAATACCTATGTATAAACTTAATACAACCGCAAAAGGTTAATGTTAATATAATGTAAACAGTTCTATAAACCGATTCTAGGGAAATCAATGTATTGCCTACATTAAAATAAGAAGTAACTACAAGGATTTTTAAGGAGTAATAACTCTTTGAATCCATCGAAGTAAAACATCCTTTCTCCAACAAACAAAAATTGGACATTGTGAACCTTTTCCTACTAAGGTCCAGATTTAATAATTGCACTCCTAACATTTGAATGAAAAAACTGCACCATCCAAACAATTATGTATACAAATCTTCCAATAAAAAAAGAAAGAAAAGTTTCATATACGGAAGAAATCACAGAAACTTTTAGAGTTTAATACTTTAATATTGGCTATTAATATTAAAGGTTAAAATTCATTTATTTTGTTTACCTCAAATATGACATTAATAATAATTTTTCTGTGCGTAACGTTAACTTTAATATAACGCAGCAGAATTATTATTTATCCTACTCTCAAGGTAAACAGAATAAATTTTTCTTCTCCCACTTATGATAGCTGTCAAAGTTCTAACTTTCAAGAAATCTGAAATTCTACGAGTAGTAATTAACTTACTTATACTAGGCATAAAAACTTTATTTACTGATCTTTCTATTGTACTAAAACAGCTTCTTTAGTTTTTCTTTAATCCAGAAAGAGATGTCAGTGTTAAATATATCTGATCACGAATCAAATTATTCGAGAAATTTCATGTAAGGAAATAGATTTGGAAATATCTAAAACTACAGAGATATTCATTTTAAATGTTTTATATACTTTAATGAGCAAAAATATCCTCTTTCGACAAAAGAAAGTCCTTTAATTTGATAGTCACATAGCTTTAAACTGTAAGTATTCGACACGCTTACTTCCCAAAAATTAATGTTTCTTTCACTGCTTCAAATAATACAAAAAAAAAAAAAAAAAAAAAAAAAAAAAAAAAAAACTTTTAAAGCTTAAAAATTTTGTAACGTAAGAAGTTCAGATTTAAAAATGCATGGAATTTTTTTTAAATTTCATCCAATAAAATAACAGTTCAGAAAATTGTATTGTTTTCAGATTTAATCAAGTCTTTTAGGTCTCATGCTTACTATCGTCCAGCTATATTTAGAAAAGTAATGCTATAGTCTATGAACAGCACAAGAGTTACGATCGCAGCTTAAAAACTTGCACCAATCTGACAAACGTAGATTTACAACGTCACTTCCAGTGTAAATGCACTGACTAATGTTCTGGCTGAGTCTTTTCAACAAGGATTGATTCGGCCAGAACATTAGTCAAATGGAATGCAAATAAGAAATTCTTTTAAAACAGAATAAACTAATGAGTTTGTGTCACCAAAAAGGCGGAAACCCCATTCAGAGATCAGCAACTACAGCGACCTCAGACATCCTGTCCCCAGCTTTAGAACTCAAAAACAGATAGAGGCTTCCCAAGAAGAAGCTAAACAGCCATTAACTTACATCAAAGCTTAGTTACATTACATTATCTCGCTCTTTGCCAACCAGCTGCAGTCCTGATCAAAATAGTCGAGGCACTAAGATGTGTGAAGTCTCCGTGTCAATTAGAGGGCGGGATAAGATGTCTGGACGAAGTGACCCCCATTTGAGACCATCATAGAAAAGAAGGAGGAGTATTTTTTCACCCTCCATTTCGCATTAACGGCAATGTTCCGCAATTTTACAGACCCGAACATTCATAAACACTTTGAAGGGACATTTCACAAAATTCCATTATCCACAAATTAAGTACTTTAAAGATTTATTTTGAATATACGGAACTTCTGCCATTGTGTAGTGTTTCAGACCAAGGGATATGCAAAAACATTCTGCAATAATAAATAAAAAAACATCACTTGCATGAATCTTCTCTCAGTTTATTTCATGCATTTATATCCAACAAAGTTCAGCTAGTCGCATGTTTCAGTGGATAGGATGGACATTTAGGAAGACTACTAAATTACTTATTACATTATTATTATAAAAACTATATCTCAAATATTTATTCCACTTTAAGAGTTAAAAAAAATTATAATGCAAATAATTTTTCAGTTTTTCAGAAAGTGAATTATGTGTAAAACTTTCAAAACCTATTTAAAAAACTGATTCATTTTACAATTGACATAATAAGCAATTTGTAATACTAAGTACAAGCTCAATATTTTTTAAAGCCAATTAAATAATTTCATAAATATTATTTTAGACTTGGTTCTAATTGGATAGTCTTTTTGTTTTAATTTTTTAATAAATTCACTACGGTACTTGTACTTAGTTTTTTCAATTTTAAAATTTCGATAATTTCTAAGAAAGCTGAATTTTTAGAATATTTAATAACCAGATTGACATTTTTAATATAGTTATTTGCAAGAAACACAAAAATTTTCAAATGATTTCACCAGCTCGTGCTTGAGTTTATCTTAAGGCGAAAAATGTTCAAATCAGAAAACATTTTATACCTGATCAGGGATTTTTTGCATACTCGCACTGCAGAATTTTCCTCAGGTAATATTATGAAAGAATAATAGTTTCAAAAACCCTTCTCCTCAGTGATCAGTCTCTGGACCTTTTCTGTGGAATCTTATTGTCTAAACTTTATTATTCATCATAAGTTTCAGACAGTTCTTTCCTGAAGAAAGTAAACTGCAGTCTTCTAAAGAAAATTTCTTTTACGAACTGTTCGTGAAATTATTAGTTATGAGGCCCTTTTTATTATCTCCAGTATT